TGCTAACCAGAAGGCTGGCAGTTCAAACCCACCAGCCACTCCTCAGAAGGAAGGTTGGGCAATCTACTTCTGTAGTGATACTGCCTTGGAAACCCAAGAAGGGGTTGCTATGAGTCAGGTCTGACTTGATGGCACATAACAACAACACAAGATGATATCCGTATGCTAAACAAGAGCTAATAAATTGGCCAAACCCCACCCAACCCACTGCTTTCTTGTTGTTGTTGTTATGTGTCGTCTAGTCGGACACAACTCATAGCGACCTCAGTGGATTCTAACTCATAGTAACATACAGAACAGAGTAGCACTGCCCCATAGGATTTCTAAATCTTTACAGAAGCAGACTGCCTCATCTTTCTCCCATGGAGCAGGTGGTAGGTTTGAACTGCCAACTTGTTGTTAGCAGCCAGAGTGAAGTGGTGGCCAAATGAAACAAGACAAAATTAATCTGTGGTGGTGGTTGTTAGGTACTGTCAAGTTGGTTCTGACGCTTAGAGACCTTATGTACAATAGAATGAAACTATGTCCAGTCCTGTGCCATCCTCACAATTGATGTTATGTTTGAGCCCGTTGGTGTAGTCACTGTGTCAATCCATCCCGTTAAGGATCTTCCTCTTTTTTGCTGACCCTCTACTTTACAAAGCATAATGTCCTTCTCCAGGGACTCGGTCCTCCTGCTAACGTGTCCAAAGTACATGAGACGAAATCTTGCCTTCTTTGCTTCTAAGGAGCATTCTGGCTGTACTTCTTTCAAGACAGATTTCTTCCTTCATGTGGCAACAACAACCAAAAACCTCACTGCCATCAAGTCGATTCCAACCCGTAGAGACCCTCTCTGGGTTTCTGAGGCAATAAATCTTTATGGAAGTAGGTTGCCCAGTTTTCCTTCCATTGAGTGGCTGGTGAGTTTGAACCACCAACCTTCTGGTTAGTAGTCAAATGCCTTAGGCACACAAGGTATATCTAATTTCTTCATCAACACCATAATTCAAAGGCATCGGTACTTTTAATTGAATTAGTAATGCAGATCAATTTAACTACATTACTAAAAATGCCACGGCTAGGGCAAGGTTGCTTATAGGCTCTGTGTCCTCAGAGTTGATCAGACCACATCAGAGTCTAGGCCTTCTTTGTGACCCTACAAGGTAAATGGTATATGTTATTAGCATAGTGTCTTAACGATGTTGTTGTTGTTGTTATGTGCCGTAGAGTTGGCCCTGACTCATAGCGACCCCTCCTTGGGTTTCCAAGGCAGAAAACTGCAAATGTCACCCCAGAGAAAAGAAAACATTCAGTGAGTTTGGAAGAGAACTAAAGTGCTTGGAAATGTTGTATATGAAAGAAGAAATAACCTTAATAATTGTTGTGACAGGAAAAATGAATGCTAGCTGAAGGTTCAAAAATAAAATACAAAAGAAAAAAAAAGTAGAATTATCCAAAAGATCTGACATAAAAGTAAAGTATTCAGCAAGAAGCCAGATGATAACAGACCAGGGAAACTGTGGAAATAATATAAGTCTGGGAAGGACTTAACATTGGGTGTCCCCTGAGAGACCCCAAATTTCTATCTCTAACTGGATATTGCTTCTTGAGCCAAGTTCTATCCTCCCTCCACATCAGTATGTCTGGTATTAAAGTCATTACCTTTTCTTTCTGTCTTTCTGTTTGCATGTTAACATTTCAGTCCATTTTCATTATTAAGCCTCTTCCATTTGGGCACCAAGTGGTTTTTTTCTTTGTAATGCTTTCTTTTGACATAATCTTAATCGAAATGCTTACACCTCATTCCTAGACACTGCAACAGCCCCCAAACTGTCCTCCTTCACCCTGTCCCTCTTAAACCTCTGATTTTTATTTTGTGATTCTCTTGCTTGTAAAGCTTCAGAAGATCTTCCTCTCTTGACAGATAAACCCAAAGCCTTTATTCTGTCATTCCAGGTTCTACAAATCTCAGTCACTCTGTCTATGTGTGACAATTCAATTGGAAATAAGGCCTCTACCCCACTCCTCCCACTCCCTATAATACCCATGAAGGACTATCATCTTGGCTATTCAATCAATAACCTGGTTTGCCTAGAACTTATAGCCCCCAGTCTAGTTTCTTACATGTTCAAGTCCCTCAATAAATACCTTTTATGTTAATTTCTATTACTCACCAGCTCAAAGGCCTATATAGTAGTGCTGCAAGTTTTAGCTCACCCTGAAATTTTGGGGTGGAGAGAAAGTATAGTATTTATTTTGTATATTAATGTATTATTCCTCAATAACTTCTACCCATCAGTTAATGGAGGGGTGGAGGACGCAGAAATTCAAACTGTTTAACTGTTTAGACTTAACTTTATTTAATAATTTAAATAGTTTTCAAAGTAAAGTCTCAAGTTCCCTTTGGATAAAAATGCTCAGATCCTCATGCCCCTTACTTCTTCCCTGTTCATACATCCATGGCTTGTACCATGATGGAAAAGAAGACTTGGGATCCTCAGAAATGCCTGCTATTCTCTAGCCTGTGGAACAATGTTGCTTGACCTCTTGGGCTCTGTTTACCCTGCTCACATCCTAAAATGAAGTCACTAGATGGGATGGGGTAGGACCCAATTTGCATGGTTTTAGTTGGGGCCCAGTGGTGATTCAGTCTCCTTTAGCTCTCACAAAGTGATTTAGACCCCTTCTTGTTTTTTATAGAGAGCCCTGTTGGCACAGTGGTTAAAAGAGTCAGCTGCTAATTGAAACATCAGCAGTTCAAATCCATTAGCTGCTCCATGGGAGAAAGATGTGGCACTCTGCTTCTGTAAAGATTTATAGCCTTGGAAACTCTATGAGATGGTTCTACTCTGTCCTACAGGGTTGCTATAAGTGGATATCGACTCGATGGCCCAGAGCTCTTTTTTAAATTTTGTTCTAAATGGAGTCTCTGAAAAGAGTGCAAATGGTTAATATGCTCAACTGTGAACTGAAGGGTTGAATTTTGAGTCCACCAAAGGTGCTTTGGAAGAGAGGTCTGATGATCTGCTTCTGAAAACTCAGCCACTGAAAACCCCATGGAGAACTATAATAATTATGAGTATAATCAACGCAACAGAATCTGGTCTTTTCTTATTTTGGATAGGGCTCCTATGGTACATCAACAGTTCTTCTTTTAGAGTCAACTCACTCCCACCCTGTGACACCCTCCCGAAAGCTCCTGATCAGACCCTCAGGTACTTCAGTATCTAGCACATGCTCCACAGAAACAGAAAGTGGCATAGGGCAGAGTCAGTCTTAGCCCCCTCCTCCTTCCTGACCACATTGTTACTGCAACTTTGTTACACCTCAGGATGGAAAAGGACAGCCTGTGAAACATCATCTTCATAGAAGCCTTAAGTAAAAGAGGAAAGATTGAGATACATGCATAAAACTTTACTCTTCTTGTCCTTTTCCTCCCATTATTCCCCCAGAAATTTTGTTACTTAAAACTGAAGTCTAGACCAATACTGTCAGTGTGGTAGTCAGACCAGCAAGGAGCCTTGATTGCATAGTGATTAAGCACTTGGCTCTTAAAAGGTTGGGAGTTTGATTCCACCCAGAGGCTCTACAGAAGAAAGACCTGGCAACATACTTCTGTAAAGATGAAAGCCTGGAAACCCTATGGGACAGTTATATTCTGTCACATGGGGTTGCTATGAGTTGAAAATTATTTGATTGCATCTAACAACAATAACAACCAAATCGGCAGCATCAGTATCACCTGGAAACTTGTTAGAAATATAAATTGTAGGGCCACATCACACATCTACTGAATTAGAAGCTCTGGGGGTTGGACTGGACAATTTTTGTTTTAGCAAGCCTTTTAGACAATTCTCATGCATGTTAAATTTGAGAACTATTGATATGGACTCTCAAATTTGGCTTATTATATGCCAAAGGGGAAGAAAAGAAAGTTAATGAATTATTTCTAGACAATAATTTGAATTGCATGACTTGCTGCAAAAATCTATTTTTAAATTTCAGAAGGAGCTTTGGTGGCATAGTGCCTAAAGCATTTGATTGCTAACCAGAAGGCTGGCAGTTCAAACCCACCAGCCACTCCTCAGAAGGAAGGTTGGGCAGTCTACTTCCATAGAGATCCCACCTTGGAAACTCAAGGAGGGATCGCTATGAGTCAGGAACGAGTCAATGGTAGTGAGTTTTGAGATTATGTAGATTCTTCTATATGTGTATTTCCTGCAAAGAAAATATGTAAAATAAAATCTTCCTCTAGTCATATGAATGTCTATAAGACCAGGACAAAGGCAAAAGAGAGAGAGAGAGGGATTAACTATTTTAAAAATATTAACTCACTATTTTCAAGATGAAGATAACATTCTTTAATCATATACTCTTTCAAACTCAGGTGCTAATCTAAATTTCCAATTTTTTTTTCTTTTTTTTTAAGAATTTCTCTACTCTAGCTACATGATTTTACTGTATTTATAATATCTTTCAAATGGTTTTTGGTTTTGAACATTTGATTAAGCCTCTTATTCTTAAAATATTATCAACACCTCCCTTCCATCTCTCTGAATTTTACTTATCTTTCAATGTCAGCTCCTTCATCTTTTTCCAAGGGTCCTTCTTTGATCCCTCCAGAATGATCTGTATTGATAAACCTTTATTTAATTATTAGATTATTTCATTATGTTTGACTTTTTTAAAATATAACTAAGAATTGTTAGGCTTTAAATTGAACATAAAATAATTACTTTATTTTGAAAATTGCATTTTTTAACAGGAAGAAAAGAACAAAGACAATATTGCTCTTCACCATTTTGGCAAGAGAAGAAAACAAGAGCCATCTCATAAAAACAACGTTGTCCAGGAAAGAGAGAAAGACCTGTCCCTTTTTAAACTCAGTGAAAATAACCAAAGTAGAAGATCCCAAAATATTTTGGTAAATAGACAAACACCACACAAAGACCATAGCATTAGTAAAAAAGAGAATGTCCACAATGACCTAAAGATGTCCGTTTATCCTGAGTCCACTGAGAATAAGAGAGTCATTAATGGAGATGATGCTTTCAGTGAACTACATGACCAAGAAGAATATGGTGCAGCTCTCATCAGAAATAATGTGCACCATCTAACAGGGCCAGTGACTATAACTGAACTTTTGAGGGAAAAAGAGAAAGAGAAAAAACCTAGGAATGTTCTAAGCAAAATCTTCAGAGTTGCTAACTATGCTAAAGCCTCCTTGAAAGACAGCAAGAATCATCAAAGAGATGCCCATGCCCAGAATATACCAGTCAAAAGTAAGAGCCCTCATCACATCCAACACATTACTCACTACATAAAACAGCTCCCAAAAGTCAAAACAATTCCAAGTGATTTTGAAGGCAGTGGTTACACAGATCTCAAAGAGAGAGGGGACAATGATATCTCCCCTTCCAGTGGTGATGGCTGGCCTTTTGAAGACATTCCAGGTAAAGAAGAAGGTACTGGTCCTGACCTAGAAGGTACAAACAGTCAAACAGGGTTTTCAGGCCCAACTGGAGCTCAGTCTACTAATCTTGATACAAGAGGGCCAGGTTATAATGAGATCCCAGAGAAAAAGGAAAATGGTGGCAATGCCATAGGAACCAGGGATGCAACAACAAAAGGGGCAAATGCTGCTGGTGTTAGCCTTGTGGCGGGCAGCAATGACATCATAGGTAGTACTAATTTTAAGGAACTCCCTGGAAAAGAAGGAAACAGAGTGGATTCTGGCAGTCAAAATGCACATCGAGGGAAAGTAGAGTTTCATTACCCTCATGAACCCTCAAAAGGGAAAAGAAAAGAAAGCAGTAGTGCTGTAACTAAAAGCACTAATTATAATGAAATTCCTAAAAATGGCAAAGGTAGCACTCAAAAAGGTACAGAACGTTCTGATAGGAACCAAGAACCCTTAAATGAAAGACAGAGATTTTCTGGTAAGGGGAATATTCAGGGCCCATTTATTGCTTCTTCTAGTCTTGATAATGAAATTAAACACGAAGTAGGTTCTCACAATGGCCCCACTAATGAGAAAAACACAGTAACACACAACCATGGTAGAAAAAGTCATTATGTACCCCATAGACAAAATAATGCTTTGTGGAATAAGGGTAAGTCACAAAGGAAAGGTTCCTGGAATTACAGAAGATCCCATTCCAATAGGAATAGCCCCCGTAGAAAGGATGATAGCAGTGAGTCATCTGAGAGTGACAGTTCAAGTGACAGCAGTGGGGATTAGTCCACTAAGAATGTCCATCCAGCAGGACAGCAGTTTGAATACCTGGTTATCTGTGAATTGATCATATCTGGGAACCAACAGAGGAGAGACAACACGAAGAGAGGAAAGAACAGTGAATTGATAAACCAAGAAATTTGTTCTCCTAGGGAGAATTTTTGGTATTTTAATAGTCAAGGTATGAAATTCTATTGAAAGCTATAACTAATGTGCTTCCTTTTTAAGCCAGAAAATTCATTGAGGATTTTTTAAGGAATAAGTAATGTTTAAATAAGTAACATTTTAAAATATCACAAATGCTTTCAATACTGTTTACTCTGTAGACATAAATTAAACAAGATATCTCATATGATAAACTGTAATTAAATAATCTATAGGAAAATTTATGGTCTGTAGTGCTTCATTCCAAAGGCAATAACATTAGTTCTGTCTCTGCCAAAGACAGTGTTTATGAAATTAATCTGGCTAGATAAGTCTTGCAAGCATCCCCAGCCCTATGCTAAGAAGCCAGTTTTTCCTTTTCCCTCTGACCTCCTTGTGCTCTTATAAATACACCCCACTTCACATTCTTTTATGTATTTTCCTCTGTTGCACACTTATGACTTCTTATAAGGTGTAGCTTTATTTCCTGAAATAAATCTCTGTGTTATTACTTTTCTCAATTCTACTTCCTTCCAAAGAGGAGAATAGAGTGGAGGGAGGGCAATAGGGAGAATATCAGAAGGAGATGCACAAAGACAAAGCCGAGATAAAATCCTATTTTAGTAGATATTATTCATTGACTGATCCTAAATCATTTCAAACCTATTTCTCTCTTTTGTACTTCAGCAAAGCTACTTTTCCAGCTATCCGTGGCCTTGTGACACAGTTCTAGAAATTAGTACAACTCTCTTGTAAAGGAATTGGGTAGAGTTCTGAAAGGCTTTTGCTTTTTCTGATGTGACAAATTTATACATCTGGTATACCTTCCTTCCTCCTTTCTTACCTTCTTCTTCTTGCCTTAACAGGAACATGATAACAACTTGCAGCAACCTTTTTTGACCATGAAGGAAAGGACAAAACAATCACAAAGATTCTGGCCTGTCTTAGTTATCTGTTGTTGTGTTGTTGTTACGTGCCCTTGAGTCAAACCCGACTCACAGAGACCCCTCCTTGGGTTTCTGAGATGGTATCACTACAGAAGTAGATTGCCTAACCCTCCTTACAAGGAGTGGCTGGTGGGTTTGAACTGCCAGCATTCCTGTTAGCAGTCAAGTGCCTTAGGCACTATGCTACCAGTACCAATATAATAGAGATACCATACATGGGTGGCTTTAATGAACAGGAATTTATTTTGGTATAGTGTAGCAGGTTCTAAATCTGAATTCAGGATGCCAGTTCCAAGAGAAGGCTTCGTCTCTCTTGGCTCTGGGGGAAAGTTCTTGTTTCTTCTGTTTCTATTCCTTGGTGATCATAATGATCTTTATGTGTTGTGATATCTGTCTTCCTCCATCTCTGCTTCCTTGCTTCCTTACATAATCTGTTCTTTCATATCTCTAAAAGAGATTGATTTAAGACACACCCTACAGTAATACAGCTTCATAAACATAAAAAAGAAAACCCATTGCCACATGGGATTATAACCACAGGTTTAGTGGTTATGATTTACAACATATTTTGGGGGACATGTTGTTGTTGTTGTTAAGTGCCATCGAGTCATCAGCATGCATAGTGACCCCATACACAGCAGAACGAAACACTGCCCGATCCCGCGCCAGCCCCACAATCTCTGCTATACTTGAGCCCATCGTCACAGCCACCATGTCAATCCATCTTGTTGAAGGCCTCCCCCTCTTTCGTCGACCCTCCACCCTACCAAGCATGACATCCTTCTCCAGGGAATGGT